TCAGCTCCCAGCCTCACTCTCACTGTGGACGTAGTAGAGCAAGCGGACACGTTATTTATTTGGGAAACTACATTTCACATCTCTGTCATAGTGTCAGCTCGCATACAGAAGGCTTGATTGGCATTTGTCAATATGAAACATCTGTGATGCGCTTCCCGATATCTGGCTGTCTGTGAAGGGTCGAGTATATGCTACAGAAGTTAGGCATGACCTGTTCTGTGGTGCAGATACTTGACCATTACCGGAACAGGATAAAAATAAATGTTTGGTGGCATTTGGAGTGATTCCCATCACTAGTTCATGGTATGGAAACTATCTATGCAAACTCATCCGATTGGGTTAAGTGCAGGTACACATATATTCTACCTTAATGCCCAATAAAGACCACGAATACTGCCAAGACGAAGAAGTCAGTGTGGTTTGTATGCCTCTTCTTGATTGATTTGAAATCCGGGTTTTTCAGCTAACCACACACACACCCCGAAATGAACCGCCATTGATTCATTGGCCCGGTGGTAGACCTGAACCCTGAACGGTAGCGTCCGATCAGCCAACAGTCACTTTTATTCCCCTCACAAGAGCTTATTTTGTGATCTATATCCCTCTCTCTCACGGTTCGAACCAGAAAAACTGTACCGGAACATGGGAAATCTTTGAAATTCATTGGCTACCTGCATACAACAGTGGGCATGTTTATTAAACTAAGGGATTGAATTTAGTTAAACGTACTATCATTTTCATTCGAGAAATTGAAGTGAAGAAGCGAAAATAATAACTATTCTGGACATTGATGTGACTCTCTCCAATGTTTGTTTCATTTAAGGGGACTTACTAGCTAACGTGCTATCAACTATCAAAGGCATGTGCTTGTGCCCGTGCGATGATGCCGTTGAGTCGCCTGAGTGGTAAACAATAATTTGATGTAAAATGAATTGATCACAGTTCTCTGGTCAACGACGTTTCAGTGACACAGGTCCTTCCTGGACAAATCATTCGAATGAGCAGTCTTTTGAAGTGTGAGCATCTCTTAGGAAAATGTGGGAACATTTGTGAACTATTCGGTTGTGTAGTTCCGTGTATGCACCCCAGACCCAACAGGATTAGATCACAATTCTCTTGTAATAGTAATAATTATAATACGAGTAACGGATGCTCAGTACTCATTAAGGAAGTTCATCCCAATTATGCCAATCTTTTCCACTGCAAAAAAATATTACAGTGGCAAGCTGCCGGTGATCCACCTCGACAAATGCGTAACAGTCCAACAAACGGTGTGTCCAGTGTCAGTGGCATGGTTGCCCCAATGGGACGTTACAATAATGCACCGGCACCACAGCCAATTATTTCCCAACCAAGAATGCTCGTATCCTATCCACGTCGTGGCCGGAACAGCACAATCTTGCCCAGACAGGCCAGCTATGTTCCAGTGGTTCCGGTAGTGCCTGGACCGGGTGGTGGAATGCGACGACCGGGCTACGGTTCAAATCTGCGAGGTGGACCATTCCGACTGATGCATACACCAATACCGAACGGAGTACCCGCGGGGTCAATGGGCAGAGGCTCACGCGGTCTAGGCAGAAAACCTATACCGCCCCATCGACGTATGAACGGCAGTATGGATGAGCGTTGTTATCATGGTACAGGTNGAATCAACACTAGCGGTGGAGTATTTGTTTACCTACCCCCTGAGATGGCCGCGGCATACCAGTCAAGAGGTATAAATTTAGTTCCAGCCCGTGCCTCAATGGGTCGACGACGAGCAACCGAACGACGAAGCACACCACGAGCATCCAGTAGCGTGGAACCTGGTAAGTTTAAAAATTCATTCATTTGAAATCGAATGATACACACACATATTATCACTGATCTCCCGAATGGGTGGTTGCGTGGATCATTTTATTAGCATGATACAATGAAATTTGGCTGTCTGCATTGTGTTATTTTCGTGCAGAAAACACCACTCAAATAGATGAAAACAGGCAAAAGTATAACGAATTTACCCCGATGGCAGAAGTAGCAAAGATTATTTTCGTTCAAGTCCTTTCTGCAATGAACGGCAAACGCCACTCCCGATTCATTCATAGAGGGTGAGTAATCTAAACCTAGTGCCTCGGATTGACAAACTGGACAAAATCGCAATAGAATAGGTGGGGTATTACGTCAGACAACTGTATGAGGCTACCGGAGGCACCAATGACAGCACAGGTAAAATACCATGTGTACAGTGACCTTTCATCGGCAAATTTGTAAGGAAAAACTGGAGGTGAAAACAAAAACGAAATATTGGGAATTTCTTTTGGGGCAAACAGTGAGAGAACAGACCCAAATGCTTTAGTTGAAGCTTTTCCGTCTTTCACTGTTGTTTCATTGAAAGCGCTATTTAAGATCCTGATGTATCGTCTCGTACCTGAAGACACCCGGAGAAATATAAATCCTAAATTATACAACTAGACCAGTGGGACAAACAATCGTTTTGAGCTGAGGTTACTTAAAATTTTAAAAAAACAATAATTTAATATTCCTGTGCTCTTCATAAGCCACTCACATACCTGCAGAGGATTACATCCCGGTGCAGTGTAATGTAATCTTCTCTTTGTTTGGAGTATGGTTTTGGTTATCGATCCTCCAAAAATTACCCTCAAAAGAACCCAGTTAAGCAATTGCAACTACCTAAGCGTCTCAAATGAAGCATAGAAAAAAATAGTGTATCGGTTATGCAATCGAAAGGAACAAATGAAGGATAGTTGTTGCATCAAATTGGGATCATCGGGAAATGACATCTTGGTTGATCCATTGTGATACAGTTCTTCATTTGCAGTTCAGACATTTCTTTTTATTTAACACAATAGCTTCGCACCTATCCCTTGCATCAATACTTTCTCTCTCTATATATATACATTGGCCCATATAGTGGTGATCTGATGACAATGTTGCAATATAACTAGAATTTCTAAATATATGGACCTGTAAATTGACTTGTTGTTCTTGAGTCATAACATTCCGTTGCTATTTTTGACAGAGAATATTATCCATTTTCTTCAATTGAACAATTTACGACTTTTCTAGAAATCGATTGCAGCACACCGTACGATTTTGAGACAGCGAATGCGGAACTGGAAGCTGAATTGGCTAAAATCACAATTAATCCGGATGGTGTTCCGACCGTGGCCACATCGAGTACAGTAACAACCAATTCTACCGGAGACGGTGTGAAGGCTGGGGCAAATAGTACGATCGCATCCGGACAGCTTCGTTCGCCTGCATCCGGCACGGGTGGAGTTTGTCAAGCAGCGGCAAACGGGAACGGTGCATCTGGCGATTCCTCCGTCGGTGCGGTTACTTCCACAGTCAACACAAGTGGAACACAAGGGGACGGAACTCCAACAGGACTTGACGGTAATGGGCCTTTAGCGAAGTAAGTATATGACTGCAGCATGTTCTGTCAATTTAGTAGTTTGAACCAGATCAATGTCACACACAACAGATGCAATGAACATATATAGAAACATATATGCATACATACACACACATAAATACATATATACATATATATATATACACTTTCAGTTTCAGATTTTACAACGATTAACCATGCAACCATGCACTTTCGTGCACAGGTTTTGGTTGATGTCTTTTGGCTGACCATTTGGATAAAAGAGCGAAGTGAAAATTGAAATGTCGAAGCAAATTCCAGCGGAAGATCTGAAATTCATATAGAGTGGTGTTAGGAGAATTACGAGTGGGTGCATGAGCGCCTCTGTACGCGACACCCAGCCACATCGCTCAGTGTCTCTAACCTCCGGTGACCATCATCCCGAGGTCCCCAGCCAGGGAGCCAGGGAGCCAGGGCCTATGTGACCTAGTCTCCTGGTTAGGGTTTTCATA